AAATATATTAAAAATAAATTATACATACATTATAACCAAGAATAATTTGAAATATAAATATTATAATCATAATTCTTTAACAATTTTATTATTATTATTATTGTTTTAAATTAAATTATTTTATTTTTATTAACAATTAAGCTATTATTAAACAATTTAATCAAAAATGCAATTAACAAACTCATTAGGAAGTTCATTTAAATCATTATAATCACAAATTTCAAAAAACTGTTTAAAATTATTCTAAATCACTCCCAAACTTAAACTCCATATTTACTTATTACTAAAGTTTCCATTAAGCTTTTAAATAAATTAATAAATAACACTTGAAGGGAATTTAATATTGAAATAAATCGTAGGTTCAAATTTTTATAAAACACTCATTAAAACAAGATTTCTTTAACTTCTGACATTATTTTCTATGAGATATTTTGCTATATTTAAAGGTACTTAAATTTCAATATTTTATAATTATTACAAAGGAAAATCTTAAAAGTTTTAAATTTTTATATTATTATTTTTTTGAATTTGGTATTATTTGTATTATTTTTTTGCTATTTCGAAAAATTCTATTTTAGAATATTTTTTCACAAGAGAATTAAAATTCTTTTTCTATTAAACATTTTATAAAGCACTAGATATTTAGACAAGAAAATTTTCCATATTTTCCTATAAATACCCTGTGAGTAACCCTAGATTTTAATCCCAAACATAATCTTATCGTTCTTATAAATAATTAGCCAAAAACAAACAAGCTGAAGCAATAAAAGAAGGTTTTTATCCTTAAAATTAATAATCAATAAGAACAATTTCTAGAATATATTTGGCTAAATAATAGGTCTTTTTATCTATTTATTCATCATAAGTAATATAATATTCGAAAAATTTGACAGAACTAACAGTAAGTATATTAAATTCTAATTATTATAAAATACTTCCTTCCATAACTAAAATATCCTCCTTAGTGTATGCATTATCGCATATATAGACAAGGTCACTAATTGAAGGTAGTCCATATACTTCTTCGTATTTAAAAGAAATAAAAAGAGAAGTAACCCCTAATAATTATAATCGTTAAGTCGAAAGTGGGGTTTTTTCCAAATACCTGTCTATTAAATTTATAGTCAAAAATAAAGTTTCAGATTTCAATTAAAATTAGTAATGGACATCCACTATCCAATCAAATAAAATTCCTCGCATTTTTTCATTTATTTCTTTTTAAGATGTACTTAAATAATTTTTTTTTATTATATACTATGTCTATATTTTTTATTTATATTAAAATAAAATAAAAAAAAAAATAGTATTTACTTCTATTTATTTTAAATAATTTAATATTTCTTATTAGTAATTTTAATGTGATTAATCAGTCTTTTTTTATTAAATATTTTTCTCTTCACTTTATTTATTTTATAGCAATAATTGAGCGAATGTGCAACTTTTATTTACTGGGATGTTTTCTAAAGTCTAAATAGTAGTGGGTGTTTCTATTTACATATTGTTATTAAATTATTATTATAATGGATTCGAATTAAACATTTTGGAATTAAATTCTAAGCTTTAAGTAGTTTTTAATTAATTTTTGTTATTGAATTATTTTAATTAGGCTATTTTTTAAGCTATTTGATTTTATTTAGATTTAGTTATGTCTTTCTAGACTTTTTGTTAAAAGTCCTTTTTTTGTTATTATAGATTATTTATTCCTATGTTTTTGTTAATATTTTCTTTGTTCTAGATTATTATTGTTTTTATAAATTTTTTATTATATATATAAATATTTTATATACTTAAATGCATTAGAGAGGTTTGCTGTTATTCATATTCATATTTTTTTTTTTAAATGCTTATTTTTTAAAAAAATTTGAGAACAATATTTTTTTTTGTTTTAATTTTTTCTTTCTTAAGGTAATTATAAATTGAATTTTTTAACAAGAAAATTAACGGAATAAAATACAAATTTTAAAATTATAAAAAAATGTAAATATAAAAAATATTTTTAATTTTTTATTAATATAATTTTATTGTATATTATTAATTTATTCATATAAAAAAATAATAATACATGGATATATCTATAATATTTATAAATTTCATTAATAATTAATTTAAATATATCTTCTTTAAGGAAAAAATAATTTAAATATTTTATTTAAAGAAAATAAAAATTATGAAAATATTATTAGAATGATAATATTGTTAATAAAAAAACCTTTATAAAATGATATTTATTTCTAAATTAAAAAATAAGTATATAATGTAAATTTTAAATTAATTTTTTTAGATATATACAAAAAAAAAAAAATTAAAATTATTTATAAGAAATAAAAAAAAAAATTTAAAAAGAAAAAATATAAATATTATTAGATAAAATTAAATAAAAAATATATAATTTATTTAAAAATTATTTGTATATTTTTTATATATATTTAATTATTTTCATTATTATTATTATTATTATAAAAGGTTTTATAAACATTAAATTATTTCCGTATTTTATTCATTATCTTTTACTAAAATAAAAATTTGTTAATTATTTTAATTTTATATTTTCTATTTATATTTTAAAAATATTAAATAATATTAAAATAAAAAAAAATATACCTATAATACATAATCATTTTATTTTAAAATAATATTAAATCCTTATTAGCTTTCCTAAATGGTATCAATAAAATCAATTGGTAAATTTAAAGCAAGTATTTTTTTATTAATATCAATGAATAAAACACATTAAACACTCACAACAAAAAGAGATTATTAATTATTTTTATTTTCAATATAAAAAGTAGAAATAAGTTAAATATCTTAATAATTTTTCTTAATTAATTTAGGCAAAATATTATATATAAGTTCACTATCTCTATAACTATAGTCTTAAAAATACATTTCTTTAGAATAAAAGACTCTTGGAATTCGGCTGCGTTTATCCAATGCATCATTATCAAAGTATTTAGCTGTATTTTTAATTCCTTCAGCTGTTTTAGATGCAACATCAATTACGCCTGTTATAGGTTTAAATATAAGCCCTGCAACACCTTTTAGTATTTATATTTTTAAAATTATAAAAAATAAATATACCTTTAGTAACTCCTTTGAAAAATCCAGCAGCTCCACCTTTTTCTGCGCCTTATATAGGCTTTTAAACAATTCCTATTAATCCGTCAGTAATACCAAGGAAAAGACTTTATAAACCTAAAGAAACTCCCTAACCGGCATGCTTAATTTTTTTAAGCTTAAGTTAATTTCTTTATTAGACGAATTTTTTATCAAAGGACAATTAGGAAAATCCTTAACCTATAGAATCTGTTATATATTAAACAGTACCCAAAGTACCTGAAACAGTATTTTTTACAAGTGAATGAGCTCCCAAAACTATTCCTTTACCGCCTTCTAAAGGTCCTTTAATAAATCCTTCCTTTGGCATGTCAAATAAATCTACTACTCCTGTATGAATATCTTTTATTAAATTGGTAGGATTTCCAATAATATTTATTGAACCTAATATTTATAATGATTACTTTAAAAGTAATCCCTTATAATGAGTAATTAATCTGCTTGTCAAAGATGTTGAGTCTTCAACAATATTATTTAGTTTAAACCCCTTTAACTTTAATGGAGCATTCTCAACATTTTTAAAGGAAACTTCTATTGCTTGTTGTATATTTTATAGAAAATCTTTAGTTTTAAATGATTAATCAGTTATTTTTTTATATGAAAATTCAAATGATATTGGATATAATTCTAATTCTTTAATACACATCAATTAAATTCTAAAATTTAAATAAAAAAATAAATATTAAAAATTATATGTATAAAATATATATATAAATTAAAAATATATAAATTAAAATAAAATTATTATATATTCATATATATTTATATGTTTTTATTTTAAATATATAAATTAATATATATTCTTACTTATTTATAATATATATATAAATATATTAAAATAAATATATTTTATTTTATTTTTATATTTTTTTTTATTTATATTAATTTTATTTTATTTTTTTAATTTTTACTATTTATTTATTTTTTAGTTTTGCCAGATATATTTATATTATTCTGTTTCAATTATTTTTTATTATTCATTTTTTTATTATTATTACTATTTTTACTATTAAAACAAGACTTAAATTTATTAAAAGAAAACTGAACAATATTCAACTAATTCATCTGTTATTTTTACTAGAGTTGGCTGTATTGCTAACCTTAAAGAATTTATTTAAATTATATTACAAGCTTTTAAATTTTATTTAATAAGCAACGATAGATGAGGCTTTTCATTATTTTCTGACTGTTTTTTTGGAATAAAATAACCGGATAATAAGTTAAAGGAGCAATATTATTATCTATTTGAATTCTTAAAGCTTTTACTTAAATTATGCGTTCATCTTCTGTTCCTTAAGCTAAGAATTCGAATTTATTTAAATTAAAATATACAATTTCTTTTGTTTTTTAATTATTTATTTATTCAATTTATTTCTATTAACCTTTTATATCATTATTGTTAATATTATGAGTTTGGATTAAAGATAAACCTATTTAGGGTAAAGTTACTTAACATTAAAATTATATGATATTATATTATTTATTTTTTTATGAAAAAGGAACACATACTAATTTTTTAGTTGCTCCTTCATAAAACATTTAAATAAGAAAATTTTCTAAGCTATTTTAATTATTATCAATCATATAAAGCCTTTCAATGTTTGGTTCGTCTAAATTTAGTATTAAAGGTTCTAAAGGAATATGCTTTTTTAAATCAATAAATATAAATTCGATAATAATATGATTCCTAAATGAAGGCAAATCAGGTGCATATTATTAACTTTATTAAGGCAATATTTTATATTTATAATGTTGTTCATTTTAATCATTTATATTTCCGAAAAAGCATTCTTAATATACTATTAAAAACATATTTTCTAATTTATTTTACTATTAGAAAATAAAAATTGGATATAATTTTTTTTTATATTTATATAATAATTTACAATAATATAAGAAGCATTATTTTAATTTTCAAGAGATTCTGAAAAAACAATAAAGAAATGTGCATTATTTTATTAAATAAGTTCTGTTTTAATAAACTTTTTAAGGTTTCTATCGTTTTCATTTCTTAAAACAAAAACAAGTGAATTCCTTTATGTATAATTAAGAGTTCCGGACCATCCAAAAGAGCCATTTTAATTATCAAGTAATATAATATTATAATTTTTGGGTTTATTTTATCACTCCAAATCAAAGGAGTTCTTTCTCCAGGATTAATAATAGTAAATTCTTCATTTACATTTTCTTATCTTAATTTTAATCTATGTCCAGTATTATTAAAAAGAATATATTTTGGAGTCAATGTAATAATTTTAGTAAACAAATTATTTACTTTATCTACTTAAATTACATTAACATCAACATGTACTTCCAAGAAGCTATTTTAATTTAAATAAACATCTACACAATCATTACCAATGCCTCCAACATTAATATTTTTCGATAAATTTAAGCCATTTTCATTTGTGGAAAGAAGTAGACTGTTTCTGGATGCAAAAAGATTTATTTTTCCAGTTTCGGTAACATATTATGTTTAAGGAATATTTTTTACTTTTTATCCTGGTGAATATTTAATTTATTGTTAACTATTTTCTAAATAAAAATAAAAAATATCAAAAGGAATTTAATTAACAATTACACATAATCCATATATATAATATTTTCTGCATCCATAAGGATTATAAATACTTTTTATATTAATTTCAAATTAATTTCCGTAAAAGTCACAAATTAAAGGCTATAAAAATAAAATATAATTATCATCCTCTTATTTTTTCGAATTATCATTTAAATTTTAGTCTAACGTTAATAAAATACTATCAGTTCCTTAAAAACCTGGAATACGAATTTTCAAGTGAATTTATGAAGCTAAATTTGAATTATGGTTTTATATTTATTCCTAATAATTAATTTCTCCTTCAAAAAGTTATTTTTTTTATAATAATTGTCGATTGTTTTCTATTAGAATATCGTACTCAACTTTTAATGGGAGACAATTTTTTATTTTTATTAATGGTTCGAATATTATTTAGGATTCTTCATATTAATAATTTGGATTTTATATTATTGTTTTTTATATATTTAGATATGTATAGTATTCACCGTGTTTTATTTCGTAAGATTTATTGTGAGCTGCTTAAAGAAGTTTTCGAATACTTATTTAAGTAGAAGGTAGTGAACCTTAAAATTTAAAAGAAAACTAACAATCAAGCAAATTAAAAGGTATATAAAATATTTCTGAAGGCTAAATTAATTTCTAGAGTATTTTTTAGAGAATATTATTTACTGTTTTTTAACTTATTTCGATTTCTATAGAATTATTGGTACTATTTTTTAATGAAATCAAAGATCTTAAATGAAGGATTTTGCGATTTTATTCTACTTTGTTTTCTAGAATTAAGAAATGTTATTTATTTATGTTTAATAAAATAGGTTTTTAATGAAATAATTTTACATTAGTTAATATTGGTAAGTTATCTTTTAATATTTTTATGTTTACTGTATTGTATTATTATTATTATTATTAAATATCTTAATTAATTTCATAGGATAAATTTTCTTCATTTTTAATTATCATTTGTATACTGAAGGCTTCATTTTAAATAAATATGTCATATCCAGTATTATTTAGGATACTAAAAGGACTTATATATTCTATTTTTTCAAAGGGGCTTTCTTATTATTATTAGATATCAATTTCAATATTTTATAATTATTAAATTGGTGTTAGATAATGATTATTTTTGCAAAGTTCTTCATTTTTTAAAGAATTTTAAGTCAATTAATTATATGTTTACTGTATTTGATTTAATAAAGTAATAAGCTTATCTGAAATGTTAATGTTAAATTATTAAAACTATTCCGAAAGTTCAATATGAATAACTTTTTTAATATCCAAGTCTGGGTTAGAACAATAATCAATTTATAATTAACTTTTTTCAATTATAGGTTCCCAATAATTAGCTGAAGGATTATAATAAGCAAATTATAAAGGAATATTAGCATAAAAATCACTTTAAAATTTAACATTATCGTAACTAAATAAAAAGTCAGTTTCAAATAATTTCAAATGAAGTAAAGGAATATTATCAATATCATTAATATAAAAAATTTCTAAATCTTATATATTAACTGAAAATTATTATTTTGCTTAGTAATTTTCATTATTTATATTTTCGTCTATATTATTTATTTATTAATTTTAATTATTATTTTAATAATACAAAGAATACATTTCTTATTACTACATTAAAGAATCATAAAGTAATTATAAATGCTTTACTGAAACCTTAATCTTCGTTTTTTAAATCAACCCTTCATTTTCAATATAAAAAAATTCTTAAAAAGAAGGACTTGGACCAACTTTGAGTTCATATTTGCTTTTAAAAAATGCAGTAATAGGATGAACTAAGTATCTTTTTGTCACTCTTGAAAAATCGTTTGTTAATATTTGGTTATATTTACAAGCGAAAACTTCTAAATCATTGATTTATATATTATATGCATACATATTTTTATCTTAAAGGTTCATTTTTTAAGTATCATTTTATTTTTCTAAATTTTTTATTTTTTCTTAATTTTCAATTCTTTCTCGAGTAAAAATTACAGACATATCACCTCTTAAAGCTACACATTCATTAATAAGTTTTCTAGTAGGAGGAAGAACAAAAACAGTATTTTACCATTTAAAAATAAAAACTAGGCGATGAATAAAATCAGTTTACTTATATTAAGGATAGCATTAAGGCTAAGGAGTTATACAATCTAATAATTTTAAGAAATATTCAGCTTATATTAATATTTTAGTATTAAATAAATTTAATGTTACATCTTTATCGCCACTATTTCTTATTATTGTTTGACGAAAGTTGAATTTTTTATTATGATGCTCTTATTTCTAATTCTTGCTATTTTCTTTACTGAAAGAAGGGAGAGGATGTGGTTAATCTTCAAGTGGTATAATTTATTATATTATTGAATTCGGAATATTTATTGTTTTATCCATTTCATCTTGCTCTTGTTTACATAAAGTATCTTTCCCTATAATTTTGCCGATTATTTCTTTTTTTAAATAACCGAATGCGGTTTTTTCGAAATGCGAAAATATAATATCTTAGGCACTTACATTTATTTTAATATTTAGTGATTAATCTTTTTACCATTTTATGCGTTTTTAATTTAGACTTATGAGGAATTCAGGATATAATTGCATTTCGTTTTCTATATTTGAATTTACTTTTATTAAATTTAAACTCTCTATATCCATTATTACATCTAATGGTACTGTTTTTATTTTATTTTTGTTAATAATAAAAATTATAATATTTATATGATTTTTTTATACTTGGATCTAATGCTTAAACACCTATATAATTAAAAATAAAACACTCATCCATTAAATCATCGTAAGTAAATTATGCAAAACCATCTTTATAAAATGAGTGAATTATGTTTAATTCATTCTCATTAAAATAGGTGAAGCCTTTCCTTTTACTTTATAATTTTTCACTATATTTTTTTCTATTTAAAATAAAATAATAAAGAATATTTTTTAACAAAAATAAAAATACAAAACTGAGGAAATATTATGCCCATTTCTTCCCAATAAAGCACTCTATCCCAAACACACTAAATTGAAAAAGGAATACTTAATGTTTCATTAAAATTTCCTTTTTAAATCTAAATCTAAGCATCAAAACATGATATAATATATTACTAAACCCATAAATTTTAGAAGGCCTAATTATCTTAAAGTTCGATTAATCTATCATTAGTTGCTTTTAAAATGCATTACATATTGTAATTTTATCAAAGCTAATAATAAATCCATCTTCATTCTAAGTAGCTGAAAGTATAATTTCAGGTTTATTTAGCGAAACCTAAATATACATAAAAGAAGGTTAAAATATTCTTTTAACACATTCATCTACTTCTATGTGTGTTAAATTATTTATATTCAAAATATCATCGGCATAAGAAATAAGAGCTATTATCTAATTATTAATATAGTCTATTACTCTCATAATATTTTATTAATAATATTATATTATAATCGGTTATACATAAACATCAATAAAAGAATCTATATTTTTATTTAAAAATTATTAATTAGGATAATATGCATATTTAAATTAAATAGCATTTCTAACTTATCTTTTTTCATTCTCATTTTCCATTTAATTAAATACTATTCCTTGTTATTTTTTTAAATATAAAAATTCTTAACTTTTTATTTCGGATATTTAATTTGTGTTTTAAGTAAAAGGATAGTTAGAAAGATCTACTAAATGTATATTTTAGGCATTTCCTTCATAGTAAGTACATTCCTTAGTGTCTATTTTAATTACATTTACTTCTTCTAAGTTCATCTGGAATAAAGCGGCATATTTTTCACTTTAAAGGAAATTTATTTAGACATTTTTAAATATAAAATTAGATTTATATTAGCTTTTTGAACAAAGATTATTTTTTAAACTTTCAGAATAATCAATAAATAAATCTAAAGGAATGTTTTTAATGATTTCTTTTTTGTTATTTTCTTTTTCTTTGAGGATACTTTGTATTAAATAAATTACATGATTTTGATCTATTTAGGATATACTTTTACTTTAAAAGGAAAACAAAGTGTTATAAATCATTCTTAATTTCAAAATACTTTCAGGCTTCCAATTAATAAAAGCTTTAAAGACCTAAAAATTAAATTCAACTTATTCATTTAAAAAATTTTCAGACCATTAAAGTTGGAAATAATTTGTATCTTTTTCATTTACTTATTGTAAATTTAAATTACTAGTAGTAGAAAAAATAGGTTAAAATATTTCATGTTTATGCATATATAAAGTGTCAGATATTATTATATTAGAACATGAAAAAGTGGTATTTTTTTCAAAAGGAGTTGTGCATTGAAGATAAAATACATCACTAATATCAAAGGATATTTTATCACATTATATATTTATTTATTTCCATTCAATTGATATTTTATTTTTTATATTTGGTGTATTATATTATTATGTATTTTGAATTTTATTTTATTCAAATTCGTTATTTGATTGATTTGTATTAATAGTTTCAATATTGTATTCTATATTTTCGATTTTTTCTCTTTCCTAGAAATTTTAAAGAGCGTTTTAGAAAATAGAAATGAATTCCTATAGATCTTCTGGATTATTGAATTCGAAAATGCATTCAGATAATTTGATTTCAAGTTCGTTTTGGCTATTTATAATAAAAAGTTCATTTAGAGAATTATTTTCTGAAAAATTGTTTGTCTTTAAAATATCATCAAACTAAATTAATTTCAAAAGTTCTTCTTATACATAAATATATAAAATATTTTATGGAGAAATTAAAATTTCGCCTTCTGTAAATTTCAGATATTTTTTTTCTTTAAAAAAGCCTTTTTTAATTATTAGAGATTCTTTTATTTTATTTTCTTTTTCCAATTTATTTTTCACTAATTACATTTATCTCTCCAACGACATAATATTTCTTAATTTTTTTGTTTCTTTAAGTACATTTTCATTTATTTAAATTTTCAAAATAGGTAAATTACCTTCTATGACCATCATATTTTTTTCAATATCAAAATAATTTTTTTACTAATTCATTACTTTTACTCTCATATTGTAATCTTCAATTATTTTTACTAATCCTTCTTATTATTAATCCTCACTTTAAACCATATCTTTATTAATATCAGTCTACTTACTTAAATAAAACACTCCGATATTCATAATCTAGACATGAAAAACATCATATATATCTTCAACTTAATCACTTAACATGACTTGCATATTGCCTAGTTTAAATACGAAACATCCTGAATCAGTTTCTTCGTTACTTAAAGGTAAGAGAATTATTTATTAAGAAATTTTAATATCTAGTCCTAATCTAAAAGCCGCAGAAAGTTTATTTACTTATTTTAATTATTTCAAAAAATGCTCTGTTTACGTTTTTACATCAAAAAATTCTCGTAACCTTTCCAAAAATCTTACATTGTAATAATATATTACAGGCTCAATACTGCAAGTGATATTTGCATCGAATTTCTTTTTTTATGATAGAGAATATCTCTTATAAATAAACTTCATGAAATATTATTATAATTATTATTATTATTCTATTTTTTTATTTATTTTATTTAATATATTTATTGTTTCAGGAATTCCTTATTTATCGTTTAAATACTCATTTTATAAACATATTTTTAAATCTTTTAATTTTACATATATTTCAGACCCAGAATCTTCCTGTGTATTAGTAAATACTTACAAATCTTCATAAATAACTTTAATTCCCTCTATGACATTACTTTCTTAATTTTCTTTACTTAAATAAATACTACCCCCTAATAATTAGATATTTACCTAAAAATAAATACTTTCTCCAGGTCTTTAAATTATTTTGTCTTTTTTGTCATTTTCAAATTAATTCTCAATATATTTTTCTATTTCTAAAATTTAATCATTATTAAGAATATTTTCTTCAATAGTATTATTTTTAGTATTTTAATTATCTTCCTCAGATCCGAAAAGATACCATTTTTTTTATTTATTTTAGTTTTTATTTAAAATCTCATTTATTTTATTTTCTCTTATGTTGTTTTTTACTACATTTCGAGTCCATTAATACAATGTAACATGGTCCATACTCTTTATTATTGTTTCAAATATTTATCTTGATTTATATAAATTATCATTTAATATTATATCCTCGTATTCTTTTTGGTTTATTTGTTTTAAGATTTAAGAGTATATTCTTTCAAAATTTTAGCGATACTATTCTTTTGTTTCATCACTTATTTTTGCCGCTTTTTTCCTTTCTTCCCAAAGTCTATCTCTGTATTAAAAGCACATTTTTAAAATATAACTTATTTAATCTATTTGAGCATGTTTTAAATGGAGGTTTATCCAATCAAGTTCAACTGTTAGTTAATATTAAGGATCTTCGATTTTTTATATGTCATTATTTACCAATTTAAAATCTGCTGTAATATCAATTATTGTATTTATGCTTCCCTAACCAATATGTTTCAAGTTTTAATTTATTAATTTATCCATTGTGGAAAAAACTATATATTTTTAAGCTTTCTAAAGCCAAATAGTTTCTTCAGAATTTTAATAAACGCGTAAGTTTTGTAAATTTAATAATTTATAAATTGCTTAGTTTTAAGTTTCTTCTTTTGTTCGATCAATAAATGTTATTTTCCAATTATTATCAGTTGTATTTGCTTGAATTTCTTTTAAAGTGATACCAAAAGAGTATTTTTTTTCTATATCTTCCCATCTTATATGCACATTCTTTAATGATAATTAAATATTATCGATTATTTTCATTGTCATTTTATCAAAATATCCCTATTCTTCTTAATCTTTTTTTTAAGAAAACCTATTTAGGCATTATTTTGCGTAATAATTTATATTTTCTAGTTTTTTTTCGAATGTTAATTTATCGTGAAAATTCCATTCGGATTCCTTTTTAGGACCAATAATTAAATATATATTTTGTAAATTTATTGGAACTGGATTTGAGCTTAACTTTGACCAAGGAATATTTAATGATAAACATCCTATATTACTAAATAATATTTATATTGGCAAATCTAACATATCCATTATTTCTGGCTTTAAACTCACATTTTCGATTTTCACATCACCTTTAAAAACTCCAAGGTGAAGATTTTTTTTATCTAGACCGCTTATGTATTTTCCGAAATATGATGCTATTATTTTTTCGAGTATTTTTTCAAACATATTTTTTAATATTATCTTAATTTATATAATTTTATTTTATTTTGAAATTAATAATAAGTGTATACATTAAATAAATGTATAATTTATTTTTTGTATTTTTAATAAAATTATATTGGTTTTTTAGATAAGATATTACATATAAAATATACATTAAAAAAATGAATTTAATTAAAAATATATTATTTCAATTTTATAATAATTATTTTTTATTTTTATTAACTTAATCTTATTTATAAATTTTATTTTATTTAAATATTTCTTTGTGATATATTTCGCTCAAATATATAAGATATTATTTCTTTTCAATAAAATTAAGATTTTAAATTAAATTATAGTATTAGAAATCATATATTTATAATAAAAAATAAATCAAATTAAATAAAAAAGTTAATTTTAAATCATAAATGGTTATAAAATAAAATTTTATAAATTTTCCAATAAAAATGTTATACTATAAATTATTATATTTACAAATTAAAACTTCTATAATTTTTATCCATAATATAACGATAATATAACGGGTATTTATTTGCTTAATTACCAGTCGAATTATATATACTTAAAAAAGCATTTTATTTAAATTTACTTAAGTAATATTATTTAATACTTTACTTATTATTAAGTAATTGTTTAGTTAATAATTAAAATTTTTATATTAGTCAAAATGTAAATCAACCTAATTGTTGGACATATTTTTGTAAAAATTTTACATATAGAAAAAATAGTATTTAGTAAACACCTATAATCGTAAATGAAATTAAAATTTATAAATTAATTAAATTGATATCAATAAATTTTTATATATCATTCTAAAATAAATTTATTTCAGGTTGAATTTCTTTAAAAAAAATATATGAATAAATATAATTGCTATTGATATAATAAATTATATTTTTGTTAAATAAAAATAATTTGAGCAATTTTTAAAATAAAAAATATATATTAATTAACCTTTACTTTAAAATTTTTATTTTAAAAAATATATTTTATTATTTATTTTTCTTCTTAATCATATTCTGTATCATTAATTTAAGTACTTATAAAGCGATTATATTTTAAAACAGATATAAGAGCCAATTTTTTAAAAATTTTCATTCATTTAAAAATCTGTTTATAAATCTAAACTTTAAATTTATTTATCTTAATTATTTTTTTAATTTTTATTTTTTCCTATTATTTTTTATTATTATTTTTTTCTTATTTTTAAAGTCTAATATCTTTCTTTTTAACAGAGTTATAAGTTATATTTTATTATTAAATTTACATTTTTTTTTTTAATATTAATTTCTTTGATTTATTTAAATATATTCATCTGCATTTATAATAATAATATTTTCATTAAAAAAAAAAACATAGTTTTTGAATTATAATTCAAATTGATTAAATTATTTCTAAATATTTAAAATCATGTAAATATTGATAATTTGTTATAATTAATTTAATACTAAATCAATTATTTATTTATTTTTTTAAAAATAATGATAATATTCCAAAAAAAAAAATATATTTTGATTATATATATATATATATATATATATATATATATATATTTATTATTTTTTCTCTACTACAATCTTTTGTATATTTCAATTCATTAAGTATTTTTAATATTAATTTTTAATAATTTTGCTAATTATTATCTTTACAAGTTAACTTCTTCAAAATCTACCCTTGTATCTTCATCCAAATTAGAATATTTTTCTTCAGACAGATTGAACATTTTTTTAGCTTCATTATAATTATCTTCACCTTTTTAAGTTAGGATAATACAAAAATTTAAATAAGTTAAATAATCTCTTTTTATTTATATATTAATATAATAAATTATAAATATCTGTTTAGTATAAAATATATTATTTACTTATCCAATTCCAAAGCTTTTCTCATTGCCTAACAAGCATTAGGAAAATCATCCAATTTATTTAAGCATATTCCTAAATTCATATAATTAGCAGCAAAATTTTATTACAAATTTATAGAAACACTAAAAAAATAATAAGCAGTTGCATATCTACAGAAGTAAAGAAAATATGTATTTTTATAAAAATATAAAAAATATATTTAATAATTTTTTTATTACTATTATGTTGCCATATAAACAATTCCTAAATTGTGACAACAAATCCATTCAAAAGGATTTAAATAAAAAGATTTCTTTAAGCATGCTATAGCAGCAATATATTATTGTTTTCCATAAAAGCACATTCCCAAGTTATTCCATAATTATGATGAATTTGAATTTTATTAGGCCATTGTTCTATATTTATTTATTGCTGCATCATATTCTGATCTATCCTAATAAAATAAACGAAAAATATATATATATATCTTAATTAAATTTATAATATTATATATTATTTATATAAATATAATTAAAAATATTTTATTTTTACTTGCATAATAGACCCAACAGCTAAAATAGCTTTTTAATCTTTATTATCTAATGCTAAAGCACTTCCTAGATTTTAAAAAGCCTCCATATTATTTCCTGCTCTTAATTACATAATTCCTAATATTGTAAGAATTTCTGAACTTTCATGAGATTATCTATAATATTTTTATTATTATTATGTTTAAAATTTTAAAATATCATATATATATATATATATATATATATATATATATATATATATATATATATAATAATAATAAGAAATACTCTATTGCTTCTTCATATGTTTTTATAGCATTATTTTATTAATCCATTAAACAATATAATTTTCCAATTTATGTGTAACTATTTTTTTCATTTAAAAAATAAAAAAAATTAAAACAAGTTTTTTTATTTTTTTCGATTTTCTATATATCTAAATAAAATTAAAATAAATATCTTACATAGATTAATTTTTTGAAATTTTGTTTGCTTTTTTAAATTATTCTAATGCAGTTTGATAATCTTTAGTATTTATATAACATAAACCTTAAGTATAATATAATTCCCAATCATTTGGATTTAATTAAATAGCCTAGTTTGCTACTTCAATACTAGCTTTATATTTTCCAGTTAAAAACCTTTTATTTTATTAAATGTATTTTTATAAATAAAAATAATTTAATTCAACATAGATCTGCATATTTCTTTTAAAACTTCATAGTTTTTATCGTTATACTCGTGTAAATATTTTAATTCGTTTAATGATTCATTTAATTCTCCTCTAATACGAAGTATTAGTGCTTTTTTTTAATAAAAATCTTTCTTCTAGGAATAATTGACTTTTTTACCCTTTAAAAAATTTGCAAATTCATGATATCCTGGATCTAATATATTTAACTATTCAATAATATTCATACACTAACCAAATTCCTTTTAATTTTATTTTTAAATTAAATTTTTAGATGAAATATATTTAAAAGATAAGAAAAATAATTAATAATGTTAGACTATTATTTTATTTTATTTTTTCTACTTTGCGAACAAAATATTAATATAGTATTTGATTTTGCTTTTATCTGTTATTTGATTATTTTTTGACTGCTTTTTATTATATGTCGCCTTAATTATTTTATTTTTGATCCATGAAATTTTATATATTGAAATATATTTATATTTAATATTAAATAATAATATTTTTTGAAAAATATTTAAAATTTTGAAAAAATAAATAATATAATTATATATGTATTAACTATAAATTATAATTGTAGATATATGTGCTTTATTTAAGTATTCTCTTTAAATTATATAAATTCGAACTAAAACAAATTAATAAAATTAAATTATTAGATTAATGATAAATATAAAATACATAATTAGGGGTACATTTTATTAAATATATCAGATTTTATAAATTGTTTCTTAATTATATATATATATTTGGAGATTGTTTTAATTATAAAATAAATAAAATCCAAATGCTAAATATAAAGAAAATATATAAAAATAAAATAAAATTGAAAAAAAAAAATGGATTAAAAAGAACCTACTGAAACATAGCCTAAACAATAACCTTAATAATAATAAAAAAAAGAAGCAAAATAAGTAGCTGCAACAGTAGATGATTTTTCTAAAATTGATATTAGAGTAGGAAAAATAATAGAATGTTGGAAGGCAAATAAAATAAATATATATATATATATATTAATTATATCTTTAATAAAAAAAAATATATATAGCACCCAGAAAGTGAAAATTTATACTGTGAAAAAATTGATATTGGAACTGAAGTAAGATTAATCGCTTCTGGATTATAGAAATTCGTATCTATTGAAAATATGTCTGGGTTAGTTTTAGTTATGGTTAATTTGAAACCTAGAAAATTAGCAGGTTCTAAAAATAATATTTAAAAATATTAATTATATATTTATAGGATTTGAATCTAATGGGATGGTTCTATGTGCCTCTAATGCTGACAATACAAGTGTTGAAATTTTAAGGCCTCATGCAGGTATATATTTTAATTTTTGTATATTTTATGTATTTTTTTATATAAAGATTCTTAAATTGGTGAAAGAGTATTTTTAGAAGGCCATGAAAATTTATTTGTTTAAGATTTATAACCTGTTTTAAATCCTAAAAAGAAAATATTAGAAACATGTTCACTTGATTTAAAAACTGATGCGGAATCAAATGCAACTTTTTAGGGTAACTTTTTTTTTTTATATTATTGAATCTATTATAAAATTAATATTTTGTTTTATTTTTGTATAATTAATTTTCAATATATTTGGTTTTTTATTTTATTTGTTTTTTGTAATATAAAGGATATAAATGGTTAACTAAGGCAGGATGTATTAAGGCTTAGTTATTATCTAATGCTTAGATTTCTTGAATTAATAATTATTTTTATTATTATTTTTATTTTTAGAAAATATATAGAAATTATAATAATTAAAATAAAAAATTTATAATGATATTTAAAAATTTTATAAATATGTGTAAAAAAATAATACAATTAAATTTATTTATATGTGCATTTTTTCATTAGATTAAAATTTAATTTATAATTAATGAATAATTTTATTTTTTGGATATTATTAAAAACTAATATATTTAATTACTTATATTAAATATCAATTCGTTTTTTAATAAAATAAATAAGTTTTATTTATAAAAATAAAAAAATCTAATTTATACAAAATATATAAGCACATGTGCATATCATTATAATAAATAATATATTAGTATATTATTATTTATTAATAAGTAATTTTGGCGTTATATTCGTCATTTATTATTATTTTTAAAAAAATTATTTTAATTTCTGCATCAAATATTAATTATATTATAAAGATAATAAATAAAAAATATAAATATTAAAAATAAAAAAAAGCTAAATTAAATAAATATAATGTAAATAGCTGATGTTGTATTCATTAATCTTTTAGACTATATTGATTAGACAATAGATGTATATAAGAAAAATATTAGTTATATTCTTTCAATAAAATAAAAAAACAAGCAAGAAGGTTGCTAAGTAGCAATGTTAAGGTAATTCGCTTTATAATGGATAATACATAATGTTCCTTTAAACAATGGAATATATTAAAATTTTGATGAATTTCATGGTTGTGTAAAAAGATTCTCAAAATATTACAATTAAACTAAACTGGAATATTAGCTTAAAACATTTTATGAATCAGCCATTAGTGTATGGTAATAATTAAAATCATAACCAAATACAGAAGAAATAAAGCATGCATTGCTTGAAATAGCAGCAAAATTTTTAAATAAAAATCACTAAATATAAGAAGATATAGGGCTTGGGGAAGGATTATTTTAAATTGCTAAATAATTTTATTAAGAAAAAAAAAAAATTACTGAAAATGTACTTTCTTAGAAAGTTTTAGAAAAGTATTAAGGAAATTATGAACATGTTACTAAAGATTATTATAAATTTATGAAAGATTTTATAAATGTACATTTCCCTCCAAAATAATAAAGTTATTTTGGAAGTATAAATTAAATTTATGAAACGACAAAATGTTGGCCTAAAAAAACGTTAAAAATAGCACTAATAAATATAGAAGAAGGATTTAATTCATTATTACCTTAATAAACATTAGATATTGTTCAAGATAATTTCTAATAAAAATATGAAGATGACAATAAAATAATTTTAAAAGTAATTTTTAAAAAAATAAATTAGTATATTATATATATGTATATATAAATATATATAATATATATATAATTATATTATTTATTTTTATTTATATTTATATAATTATACAATTATTAATTTATATAATAAAAAAAATTATATTTTATTTTTATTTAATATAATAATTAAACATTTTTTTAAATAGATGTAAATTGTCGGTATTAAAGGATTCTTGGTTTGGAAAAAATTCTTGAATTCAATAGTTGTTTATAAAGGTATTAAAATTCAAGAATTTTAAGATTTTAAAGATAGTTTAATGAATAGATTATAAATATTTAAAATAAATAATTTGTATTACTTAAAAATTAAAAATTCTGTTATTTCATTTAATTAAAAAATCACAGAGTTAGGTGGAAAAGTTAATAATACCTGGATTATATTTTAAAGATACACTTATTTTTAAACTGTTTAATTAATCTAAATTTTAATGAATATGATAAATATTAATTTATAAAACTACTCACTATATTAGAATGCTTATTAAATTATTTAAAAGAAAAGATAATAATAATAAAATTTTAGCCCTGAAAATTCTAAATTAGTAGAAAGTTTTTATTTAATTTAAGCCGATAACGAAGAAAATGATTAGCCAGCAGTTGAATGATTTATTTTATTTTTATATAAAATATTTATAGTTTTTTGCGAATATAATTAAATTATTTTTATTTTTATTTTTAAATCTTTTTTAATAAGATTTAATATTTATTATATATTTTGTTGCTAAAAATTATATTATTAAACTATTATTTTTTATATATATATTAAAAGTATTTAGTTATTTAATTTATATTTAATGATTATACAAAAAAAAATTAAATTATAATCATAAATTAAAAATAAAAAATTTCATTTTGTTTTTAATTATATAAGGTTTTTATTTTAAAAAATAAAAAAAATTAACTTAAAATCAATAAAAGTAAAAGATCAGAGTTTATAAATCTATATAAGAATTAATGATTAAAATATAACTTTATTTATAATATATATAAAAAAAATGATAATGAAAATTACTAAAATATATAAAATCAAATAATCATTTCATCATCATTTTTATTAGAACTAATTAATGCTTATTTTTCTTCTATGACTTAAATATCATCTTCTTCAAGATTATTATCTTACTTAATAGAAATCATATTAATAAAAACAAGAGGCATAGCAGTAGTAATATTAGCTATAACAATTAGGATCCACAAATTATCAAAATTATATTCATTAATTCCTAAATAATATGTTATAATACCTCCTAATTAAAGTGAGAGACTATTTCCTAAATTAATGGTACTCATAATCATAGCATACATAGTACCTTCGATACTTTTCGGACACATTCTGCAAGCTAAGACAAGAATAGGCATAGTATTAAGTTCACCAATAACTTAAATAAAAATGGAATCTCCAATACAAAAGAGCTTATCAGGAATACCTAAAATCAAATTATATCTTGTAACAAGTAAAATTTATGAAAGTCCAACAATTACACATAAAAAAGTTGACCAAGTGAATTATTTTATAAATTAGACGTATTTTAAAAATTTATTATATATAAAAATTGCTAATATAGATCCAAAAGCATGAATAAATTTTATTTATCCCAAAAATTAAGGCTAAAATTTTAATATATTTGTGTAAAAAAAGAACATACTACCAGAACTTGTAGGAGTCATCATAAACATTAAAATAAAGACTATAGGTTTATATATTTATGGTTTTCTTAGAAACCAGAAGAATTTTTTCAAATTCGATTTCTCTTTTTATAATGAAGATTTATTGTTTGTACCTATATCTGCTTTTTGTTTTTATTCATTCTTCATCATTATGCTTGCCAAACACAAAAGTAAAGGAAATATTCCTGTAATAGCAAATATTTTATGTTTTTCGTATTTTTAAAGCAAATAACCTCCTAAATAGGCAGTTGCTAATGTCTATATATGCATTTAAAAAAAATTATTATTTATATATCAATGTTTTTTTTTACACCACAGCTTTTAACTCCAAAAAAAGTGATACATTTGAAGCTGCTTCACTTTATTATTATTCATCAGTTAGATTAAATTTTTTGCTTTTTAATTATGAAAGTTCTACTATAAGTGCTTCTCCTACTACGTTGCAAAAAGCTGTACTTAATTAAATCATAAATAAAACTAATATTCCTGTATTTTATTCTGTTACATAAAAAGCCAAAAACATCCAATCTATAAATGATATAAATGAAAATAATATAATATAACTCTTTCTTCTTTATCCAAATATTGGAATTGTGTCACTTATTATGCCCCATATTGGTTTAAAAATCCAAGGAAGGCCTATAAATCCTTATGTTACAGCAACTTAGGCTGGAGACATTTTAAAATCATCTTTATATAAAAAACTTAAAGAAAGATCTGATAAAGCTGATATTCCTTAGGTAACTGCCACTAAAATTATTACTATGTATTTTCCTGCAAATTCTCTATTTTAATCGTACCATGATAATAATTAAGGTGATTTTACTGAATCTTTCATTTTTTTAAATATAATATAAATGAATTGTGTATTATTATTTTTTTATACTGTAAATTTTTTTTTTTTATTTGATTTTAGGTTTTTTAATATTTAACTTAAAACGTTTTTTTTATAGGAATAAAAATTATATATTAATATAAATATAAGCGTATTTTATACAAAATTATTATTTAAAAATAATAAAATAATCTTTTTTTTTTTGATAAAAGAAAATAATTTAGAATAAAAATATTTTTAATTCATAATTAAATAAAGTAATTTGTTTTTTTTAATTAAAAAAAAAAAAATAGTATAAATTTATTATTTAATTTCTTAAAAAAAAAAATCATTTAATATTAAAAAATAAAAAATTATAATTCTATGAACAAATCATATTTCGTAATTTAAATATAAATATTAATTTATAATATCTAAAATTCAATAAAATATAGAAAAATTATAGAATAAACACTAAATAAATAATTAAAAAATTAATAATAGAAATAATCTTATTTTTATAAAACCAAAAACTTTAATTAAATATGCAAAAAAATTAATAAATAAGTATCAACTAAATAAAAAAAATAAACTAAAATACATAAATAAAATAAAAAAAAAAAATTCATATAAAAAAATAATTCAATCCACCATCCTTAATGAATATAGAAAATTATATTTTTGTCTATACATGGTAAATATGCATTTTTAATATATATTTGAGATAAATAGTAAGTTAAAAGGTAAAATACTTAGAAGCAAAAGCAGTAAATTTACAAAATATTTATGATGAATATATATTGAGTGTATTATTGCAAATGAAAATATTGTAAATTTTTTGATTTTTAAACACAAAACAATGTTTTTATAACAATAAAGCTATGTTAAATAGGCAAATAGATAGGATATTAAAAAAACAAAAAATAAGTTAAATAAAGGATAATAAAAAATTATATTTTAAAAGGATTAAAATAAAAATTAATTTAAATATTAAAAAAAGAAAAGTAAAATTTAAAATTTACGGATTTCGGGTATGCGTAAGAATTGATAAGTAAGTTAATTTATAAAATATTTCAATAAGATATCGTTTATAAAAACACATTATATTATGAAATAATAAAATTTTACTTTAATATTTATATTTGATTTTAGAAATTATTTAAAAAAAATTAACCGATAAAAAATAAAAAAAAAAATTAAAAAAAAAAATTAAAAAAAAAGAATTGTAAATTTGATTCTTAAATTAATAAAAAAAAACAAAAGAAAAATTAAATAATATAAATGAATAAAAAAAATATGAAATAATAAATAAAATAACAATAATAATAAAAATAAAAATAATAATAATAATAATAATAATAATAATAATAATAATAATCATAATCATAATCATAATCATAATCATAATCATAATCATAATCATAATCATAATCATAATCATAATCATAATCATAATCATAATCATAATCATAATCATAATCATAATCATAATCATAATCATAATCATAATCATAATCATAATCATAATCATAATCATAATCATAATCATAATAAATATTTTATTTTAAATATTTTTTTTTTATTAATTTTTTTAAGTTAAATATTATTTATATAAATATTTATATTTATTAAAATTAAAAATTTAATATATTCTTAAATTCAAAGCGCCTTTTTTTATATTTTAATATCTTTATACAATAAATATATTTTTTTTTTATATAAATAATATTAATACATTATTAAATATGTTTGATCTTTCTAGAGAATATTATAAAGATTTAATAATAGATGAATTTTTTTAATATAAAGAATCTTTAAAAAAAAATAAAAGTAAAAAAGTTTTAAAGGTTTTAACGATTTTCGATTAATAAAGAAACGATCTTTTATTTTAATATCCTTTAAGCCCAAAAGATATTAAAAAGCATTTTAAATATAATTTATAATAACCCTAAACATACATTAATTAATCACAAATATTTAAAAAGCAAAAAGATATGAAAAACGCAGAAAATATATTGAAATAAGGTCTTTCATTATATCCAAACTCAATTGAATTATTAACCCATATAGCTTAGTTTTACTAAGAGCAATCTCAATATTTAGAAGCAATCGAATATTTTGAAACTATTCTTTTATTTTTGTAAGAATCGGAAGAATATTAGGAAGACATAAAATATGAAACATATTTCAGCTTGGCAATATGTCAAGAAGCAATCGAAGAATATTAATCGTGTTTAAATAATTTATATCAATGCTATTTAATTGATCAGTAAGATACTGATCTTTTATAAACAATGGCTAGTGTGTTAAGAAATCAACAAAAATATGATTTAGCCCTAGATAAATTAAATGAAGCGTTAGAAATAGACAATAAAGATACTAATTTATATTTAGAAAAGTGTAGGATTTATATATATTTAAATGATGAATAATAAAGGAATATATGTGCAAATAAAATGTTTGATATTATTGGAAAGAAAAACGTGAGTAATTTAAGTAACGCGTATTTAAAATATGCTGAATTATTGGAAAATTAGGAACTTTATGATGAGGCTTTGAAAAATTTGTAGATTTCCTTAGAAATTAATGAGAAAAATTATAAGTGTTATTTTAGTATGGGAAGAGTCTATGGATTAGTTAAAAATTATAAATAGGCAGTTATTTTTTATGAAAAGTATTTAGAATTAAATCCTTCTTGTGTTGAGTGTATTGGAAATTTGGCTTAATAGTATTAATTTTTGGGAGAATTCGAAAAAAGTCTTTAGTATTTTTTTAATGCTTTTAATATTTCTGATTAATAAGATTATTCTTTTTATTATAATATTGGAGAAATTTATTTCTTTTTAAATAAAATAAATGATTGTATTAAATTTTTAAATACTTGTTTGGAGTTTAGTAAGGATTTTATTTTTGATTGCAATTTTTTACTTGCTTTTGTTTATTTTTAAATTAAAAATTTTGAAAATTCGCTTTGCCATTTTGTAGAGTGTTAAAATATTTTAATTGCTATTAATAATAAAAAGGTAAATGAATTTGTTGATTTCGATAGGGTTAATTATATTGTAAATAATTAATAGGTGTATTAAAAATTAAAAAATTATAATGATGTGGAAGGATATATATAAAAGAAAATAATGAATTTAAATAATTTAATAAAATGATATAAAAAAATATTTATATTTCAATATTTGTTTTATTTAAAAATTTTTTTAATTATTTTTATTTTTATTTTTATTTAATTTATATTTATATTTATATTTATATTTTATTTTATTTTTATTTTTATTTTTATTTTTAGTTTTAATTTTAATTTTAATTTTAATTTTAATTTTAGTTTTATTTTATATTTATTTTTTTAAAATCTTATTTTTATTTATATTTAAATTTTATTTATATATTTGTCTATTTATTTAAATATATATTACTTATTATTTTTATTTTGGGATATAATTAAAAAAATTAATTTAAACATTTAACTAAATTAAATATATTGGTTTGTTATATTTACTTTGCAAGTTATAAAAATAAAATTATGATTTGCTTAATTTATATAAATCTTTCAAAAATATTAATTATATATTAATTTTTATGAAGATATTAATTATTGCTTAATTATTTTTTAAAATGACCGAAATTTTTAATATAATATATATCTTAAAGAAATCATATCTTCATTTTAAATTTAATATAACGTTTTATTTATTAATATTTTTTTTAATAATGCGTATTATTAATAATTAAAATATTTTTTTCTGTTTTATATTTGTTTTAATCAAATTTTTTATTAAAAATAATTTTTAATTTATAAATAAACCTTTACTTTTTTACTAATAGAAAAAAAATATATATATATATATATGTATTTGAAAAGAAAAAAATTATTTCAATAATTTTTTTCAAAAATAATATAAATTCAAATTTAATTATCTATATAATTTTAATACCATCTATTATTATAATGGTATAAAAATGGTTATTATTAATTATTAAAATGCTATTATTATTAAAATTATAAGCAATTTTTTTGTTAATTTTAATATTAAAAAATAACATTTTATTACTATTAAAATTAATTTTATTATATTTCATAATTTTAAGGAATTTATTACAAGAAATTATAATTATAGCCAGTATTTTATTATTATTAATTAGAATAAATAAGTAAATTATCGATATTTTGTTGTCCATAAAATTATTTTTAATAATATTGTTAAGGATTATAATTTTATATTTATAAGAAATCATTATATTTTTAATAATTCGCAAATCTTTAACCTTACTAATATCCAGAAAATAATTAAGTATTTTATTCTTATAAATTATCAACATTAAATATAACTTTAGCAGCAGAATATTTTTTTATATACATCCAATTAATAAATAAATTTATTAAAATACACATTTTTTAAATTTATATTTATTCGATTCCAATTATTTTAAGATTGTGTTAATTTATTATAGATTAAGTAAATATCTCAATAAAAAATTAGCTTGTAAAAATATTTCCAAATCTAGCAATATGTTCTGCACAATTTTCTTCACAAAATTCTAATTTTTATTTTGAAATAGTAATCAAACTTTTACAAATTTTATGTCCGTATTTATTTAGTGCTTTTCTAAATATACATATAAGGACAGTTATTTCTTTTAATAAATCAATTTAAATGAACTTACTTAAATTAATTATTAAATAAATAAATATTTAATTAAGGCTTATATAATAAATATCTTTATATTTATCATAATTTTATTTAAATTTTGAAAGGGATTTTTTTTATTTATTAGAAAATAGTTTTAGATTTTCTAGAATTATTTAATAATCTTGATTTTTATAAAATATTTCTATTGGAAACTAATCTATAAGTTATTTTAATGAAGAATCTTAATTAGCATTATTTGGGGTTTAATTAATAAAAAATGATTTTATTAAAGATTTAAAATCAAATATACTCTATGTTTTTTAATATAAATAAATAATTGATATTTTATATCATATAAAATTATATATTTGTTTATATAAATATGTTGAAACAATATAAATAATTTTACTTTTTAAATTTAAAGCTTATTTTATATTTACTAATGATTTATTCTTTAATGAGTTTAAAGAAAATTCTATCCCATATATTTTTTTCCACAAAAACATTAGTATGTTTCTTCTTTAAAAGATAAAGACATTAAGTTTTATTTTGTTCTATTTCTTAATAATTATTTAAAAAAGTTATATATTATTTTTTTTAAAAAAAATAAAATATAATAACAATAATTTAAATTGACATAATATAATTTTAATCCTAGAATAAAAATTATAAAAGTAATTTCTAATAATTTATTAGTCATATTTTATAGTTTTTAATTTTATTTTATTAAAACAATATATTTATTAAAAAATCAAAATCAATTTTTTTTTTAAATAAAGCCTGTGAAATATATGCAAATAAAAAAAAGTTATAATAATTATTTATAAAAGAAATATTATTTTGATAAATTAATAATGAAAATCATGAATAAATATTTAAAATCTTAATCAAATATTTAATAAAATAAAAATTAAATTTAGTTATCAAACTATCTTATGAAAATTGATAATATAATGTAAAAATTTTAAAATAAAATATTAAATAAATAAACAATAATCAAAAAATTAATTATAAAATAAAATATATTAATATATATATATAAATAAATTAATAAATGAGCAATTATTTTATAAATAATTAAATTTATTGCAATTATTGTCCTTAAATAAATTAATATAAAATAATAAATACATGTCGTTATTGTGCACATAACAATATTTATAATTACTCTACACATTCATCTGATTAAAACTAACAAGAACAAGTATACTATCCATATTATATCAGACCAAAGGGTAAGTTGGAAGATATAAATGAAGAATAATTTTATGAATAGAGATAAAAATATATAATGTAAAGTGCATAAAATTAATTAGATAAACAAAGAAACAGCAAAACCTATAATAATTATGAAAATAATAATTTTTAAAATGACAGAAGCAATATTTAAAAAGAAGTAAAATACTAATATAATATAGGAGATGATAAAGATAACAAAGCAAATGATAGTAATTAAAATAATAAAGATTAAAAAAATAGTAAAAATTATTTACCAAATAATGATGATGATAATAATTATTAATCAAATTCTGATATAGGTTGCGATTCATATAAAAAAAAAATATAAATTTTTTAAATAATAATGAGTATTAGAATGAATCTGATATTCATCCAAGCTATAATAATAATAATTCTAGCTAAAATCAAAATTCTAATATTGAACTATTCGAAACTTAATAAAAAAAATCAAAAATGATCATATTAAAATAGATGATTATGATAATGATAATGAAGAATAATATATTAATTCATCCGATATAATTAATAATAATTCGGGTTTAAAAAATAATGCATTAAATGATAATTCTTAAACAATGAAAAAAAATCCAAATATGATTATAGTATTGAAAAAAATAATTAATAAAAATCTACTGAATTATTAATGGATTAATAATAAAATATTTCTGAAGATGAAAATGAACATAAGCAACATATTGATTAATTCAAAAGATTAGATATTCCTGATTTTGAAGAAAATTAAATTTAAAGAAAGTAATTTTCATTTGTTTTTTAAAATAATTAAAACCTATAATAAAAAATGGAAGAAATTTTAAAAATGAAAGGTCAAATAATATTAAAAATATATTTTTTTTTTATTTAAAAATAAATAAAATAAAATTATTTAATATACATATTATTATTTATTTATTTTATTTTAAAATATATTTACTTAAATAGATTAATAAAATTTAGAACTTTTTAGAATTATTTCTAATTTAGATAAATTAAAAAGATAAGTATAAAAAAAAAATTGAGAATAAATATAAAATTTATAAATTAAATTATATTAAAAAATAAAATTTATAAATAATTTATAAAATATATGAAAAAAAATAAAATATATTATCTATTTTTTGTTTTATAATTTATGAATGAATTAATTAATTTTTTTCTAAATCCAAATTATTAATTTTTACATATAACAATAATATTTAAAATTTTCTTATTTATTTTCTTAAGAATAAAAATTGGATTAAAAATTATCTTAATTAAAATAATTAATAAAAATTATGTTTTTTATTTAATAACAATTATTTTATAATAAAAATTTTAACTTATTAATTAAATAAATTAATACTTTAAAATACAATATAAAATAATATTAATAGAATTAAAAATTAATTTAATAAAAATTAAAAATATACAAATAAATTTTAACAAATTTTAATTAAATAGCCTATTCAAATATTTAATAAAAAAAAACTAAGATAAAATAAATGGGACAGACAACATCAGAATTCGAAAATAAAATAGAAGTAGAAAGTCGAATAGTTTAATTAAAGTGTTCCAAAGACGAGGATATAATTCCAAATCTAGATTTCATATAAATTATAGAAAACATATGTTATGGTAGAGTAAATTTAATGTAAAAAATAGGCTAATCGAAAACCTAATATATAATTATGGAGCGTATTTTACGTACTAAGCAAGAATTAAAAGAGCAATTTACAAAATTTGAACAAAAAGCATAATTTGAGCATTAAAATTTACTAAAAATAATAAAAGGATGTAAATAAAAAAATGAAGATTATTGTAGTAAATTTTATAAAATGTAAATTTTATTTGAATATATTCCAAAGACTTTGGAAGATCAAATTAGGTATCGAAAAGAAAATAACTCTCATTATGGCGAAAATGAAATGCTTAAAATGGTCGAAAATATATTAAATTGTTTGATTTATTTAAAAGAAAAATAAATATATCATTAGTATATTTAACCTTCTACCATATGTTTTGACCAAATAAATTAAATTTATAAATTAACTGATATTTAGTATATGAATAATGGTATTTCTCATTATAAATAATTTCTCTACGGAAATGAAGATGCTTGTTATTTATCACCTTAATTATTGAAAGATCTTTCTCATAGGAAATAAAGTCCTTAGGACAATATAGAAAAAAGTGATATATTTTCTCTTGGATTATGTGTAATTAAAATGGGTCTAATGAAAGAAATTTAACATATTTATAATTTTAATGAATTCGATATTAATCAAGGGTTACTTTAAGAACTCTTAAATAAAATAAAAAAACTTTATTCAGAGCAGTTTTTTGATATTTTAAGTAATATGCTTATGTATTATGAAGATGATAGACTTGATTTTTAATAATTAAAAAAAAGAATTTCTATTTTAAAATTTTAAAAGGAATAGTTTTTATCTGTCAATAAAAATTCTGACATGAAATATAGTAGATGTAAAAGCAGTGTAAATAACAATTTTAAAAGTGTTAATAATATTTATAATAGTATAAATATTAATCAAAATTAAAATAATAATAAAAATTTTTATAAAAGTGTATAATAAAAATAATCAGGAAGTGACATTAAAAAAAGTTAGAATTATACGCCTGAAAATTAAATTTATATTACAAAAGAATAATTATAAAAAATGATTAATTCTAAAAAAACAACAATAAAGATACAATTTAGTAATCGATTAGAAAAATAGGTGAATTTTAGAATAAAAATAAAAGAAAATAGCTATACAACTGATGTTTTATATTAATAATAATTTATAAAATAATTGTAATATTAACAATAATAATATTAGTAATAATATTAGTAATAATAATAATAATAATAATAATAATAATAATAATAATTATTAATATAATAATCATTAAATAACTAATAATAATTAAATCGATAAAAAGAATAACATGATAATTTTTTTAGTTATAGATTATAAAAAAATTTTGTTTTTAATAAATAATAAAATAATTAAAAAACAAATATTTATGAAATACATAATTTTAAAATATAAGATATTCATTTGTAGAAAAGACCAATTTTAGATTTAAATATTTAAAAAACATTTAACATTCTTGAATAAAAAATTAATAATATTGATTAAAATTTATATAAAAGATAATTTAGAAGCTGTTCTGCAGCAGTTAATGAAAATAATAATTTATAAAAAAATTATAGTTATTATGAAAATAAATTATAAAAACTAAATATTTTACCATTAACGCATTTCAATCTTGATTGATATAAATATGAAAATAAATTAAATAAATATAAATTTTTTATATAAAAATAAGAATTTAATAAAATATATTAGCTATTAAATAAATAAAAAAAACTTGTAAAAAATAAATAAAAATATCAAATAAATTAGAGTTAAATTTATATTATATTTATTTATATAATTAATATATTATTATTAATAATATCTTAAAAAATTATTATATATAAATGTATATTTTTTTGGATTTAAAATATTATAAATATTAAAAAATATTTAGTAAATACCATTTTTTTTTTTCAATGTTGCTATATTTAATTACAATATCTATAAATCTTATTAAATAAATTAATAAAACTAATAAAACTAAAATTAATAATTTTTTATGCCTGTTTATAAGTTTAATATAAGAGATTAATATAAATAATTTGATAATAATACATGTATTGTTACATATTGACGTTTTAATTTCAATAAGTTAAATAAATGATTAAATAAATCTTTATATATATATATATATATATGTAATAATTTAAACCTTATTTTGACTTCTAATTTTTATTAAAAACATTCGAAAATAAATTATTGTGAGATAAATTGATTACATATATTTTTTTGTTGATTATAATTACAGATAAATATAAACTATGCAAAAAATAAATATATATATATATATATATATATATATATATATATATATTATATTTTGGTTATTAAAATAAAATTGAAAAATTATAAATAATATATAAGATATATGAAATAAATATTTTTTTAATTTTTTTTTATTATTAAAATAAATGAAACAAAATTTATTTTTTTATAAATAATAAAATAATTATTATTCATTAAATTTTAAATAATTTGGAATTTATAAATAAATTTAAGCTTTTTTTATTATTCTCATTCTATGCTTATAAAATTATTTAAACGTCCATACATGTCAGTATCTTTAAGTTCATCATCATTGCAAATCCATTCATCATCAACAATATATTTATATCTTTTTTTAAAGCAAAAAATTAAATATATAAAAAAATATTTGAAATAAAAAATACAAGTAATCTCCTGTTGGTAAACTTAAAGTAATTTTCCATTCTTAAGAAAATTGATCATATTTTAAGTTCCTTTTAGTTTTCCAATTATCAAAAGAACCAATTATTTCGACTTATTTAGGTAATTTAGAAGGATCTAAAGTAAGCTTAAATTATACACTTTTGTAATTTTTCTCTGCTACATATTTAATTGCTTTTTCATATAAACCAGATAATTTCTATTCTCTACCTTAAAACTAAGTAGGAAATTTTAATACCACTTATTAAGGCTTAAAAAGTTCTATATTAAAATCTTAATTAATTTTCGTCATTTCAATTTAAAGAGTATCTTTATCAATATAGTTTTTATTGAACATTCTTTTATTTTTTATTTATTCAATTTTTTACTTTTTAAAAAAATAAAAAATTTACCTATAAAATTCTCCTTCATAAGCTTTAGAAACATCGTTTACATCAATACAAGCTTAAAAAGTACTTTTTCTTAATTGTTAATACATTTCTGCATTTTAATATATTCTCAAAGCTCTAGTTACTCCGTAAATAAAACCTTCTCTATCATGATGTTCGAATGCGTAACCACTTCCTTTTTTAGTTGTTTCATCAAAATTAATAACAGTATCTATAAAAGAAAAGAAATTAAATTAAATATATATATGTTATTTTATTTTATTTTTTTAAAAAAAACCTTAAAGTCCTCCTGTTTTCATAGATACAACAGGAGTACCAGCAACAAAGAATTCATGTTAAACAATGCCACCAGGTTCAAATTTACTTGGCATAAGTCCAAAATCACATCCAACATTAATAAGTGGTCCATCTTTTTAATAATTAAATATTATTAACATAAATAATTTTTTTTTTATATATATATAACCTTTAAAGAACATATCCGGATCTCCCCAGAAATTAAAAGGATAAACATTTTTTAAATATTAAATTCTTTCTGCACATTTTTAAGCATATTCCTCTTTATAATTGCAATTACCCCCTACAATAATTTATATTTTTCCATGTGATTATCTAATTAATTATTCAGCAGCATCAACAATTAAATGAACTCCTTTTTACTCAGTAATTCTACCCACGAACCCAAATAAACAAAAGGAATTATCAAGTGTTGAAAATCCGAAATATTTTTATTATATTTTTTCTTTAGCTTTCACATGATCGGACCCAGTTGGTAATTCTTCAATCATTTTTTGTCTTTCTTTAATGTTGAGTCCATTTGGATAGGAAAAAGCGAATTAAAATCTCGATAAAATCGAACTTAAAGAACTTTCTTTTAAAAGTTAAAATTTATATGAATGAGAGACTGTTCCCCAATTATCACAAGTCATAAATGCACATCTGGAAGGATTTATAACTAGATGTTTCCAGAAAGGGTCTATTAACCATTATGTAGGTAATTAATAAATCCAATTTAAATCTCCTTAATCAAGTCTCGGATATTATCTTCCTTCATAATTCGTATCTAAATTGTGTGCTATATGGAAAAGCTTAGTCCCTTTGAAACTTTCTCCGAAAGATTAATTTTTTACATATCCTCCTATTAAGCCTGTATACCAATCATTTGTTACTATTAGTGCTGGAATGACTTTAATTTTGCATAATAATTGGAGTGTTATTTTCGCATATAAGGTCATACTTTTTAAAGTATATTCAGGATCATCACCTGCAAATGCGGACGGGAACAAAATCGGGTTATGTAAGAAGAACACTTTAACTCCTGCGTATATGCCGGTATGAACTCCAACTTCATATTCGACTCCTCCTACATAGTATTTCATAGTTTCTTGGAATTTAAATCCGTCTTTTGTTAATAGGTCGGGCTTTTCTTTTAGTTTATTGTCATATATTGGAGTTATTACATATACTTCTTCGCCTAATTGTGCTAAACCTCTAGTCAATTCGTCTGTCATGACTCCTAGACCTCCGGTTTTGGTCCATTTAGCATATTCTGGAGTAGCAAAACATATAGGGCCGAGTTTATTGGATTCAACTATTAATTAAATACTTTTGAAAAAGGGAAGTTTTTCTTCTATAGAAGCAATAGACTATTTTTTTTTAAGTAAAGATTCGAAAAAGGCAAATAATCTGCATTTTAAAACTTTGTCTTTTTGGAAATCTCTAAGATTGGATATTGCTATATTGAGGTTTATTTGGGAAATTTTATCATATAAATAAGCAAATCCATTTATAAATTATTATAAATTATTCGATTAAGTTATTAGTTTTACTAATTAAGAAGCAGTATCATTTGAATAGATTGTCATTTATTCAGAAAGTGAAAGTTAATATTATAATCTAGCTAATGAATGTTCTGAAGCTAATTAAACCTTTTTTTATATAAAAATTTACATATATGTAATTTTGTTGTTTACTTTATTCTTATCATCTTTAATTACATTAAAACCCCAAATCATACTCTAAAAATTATCTAAATGCACAAAAAGTCTTTTTTAATTGTTTTTTTCTTATATAGAATTTTATAATAAAATACCTATCATCAATAATTTCATTGATAAAGAAATAATCATATTTAACTTCTTTATCTTAATCTGGTTTTGCCCAATATTCCATTTTAACAACTAATTCCGCATTTTCATAATTAGGGTAATATTTAGCTAAAGGTTTCATATTAATAAAAGCATCAACTGGTCCATTATTAAAATTAATAACCACAACACAGAATTACTTCTTAGTGTATCTACAAAAAGCCAAAACATGAGTATGCCACCCGAATTTATGTTCAGCCAATAGAGGAATAAAAATTCCAGATTTTAACGATTTTTTCGATAATCTTAAGTTTCTTCTACTTTCGTAATGTTTTCCTATATTTTTTAATTCATTACCAAACCAATCACCTTAACTTTGGACAAAAGATTATGTTTATTATACTAAAGCAGTCATATCATCTACTGATTATCCACTTGAAATTCTTACCATGCTTTGTTTTTTTGTAGCTCCTCGTCTTTCGTATACTGACCAGCCAAAACCTTGATTATCTTCAGTGTTGAAGAGTTACGATTCGATTTTCATAATTTTATTTTTCTTAACTTCAATTGGTTTTGGGCTATTCCTTAATCTTCTTCTTACTCAACTATTGAAGGCAAATTGTTTTTTTTGGGAATCTCCGGTTCTTTTACTAAAGTGAATATATTTGTGGTTTTTATTTTAAAAGCTTGCCCATCTATTTTTTTTATTTAATATTTATATTATTATATTTTTTTTTTTAAATAAATAAGCAAACCTAATTCCCCAATAAAAGTCATTGGAATATCAGTTAAAGTAAAAAATAAATCAACAACTGCCCAAGTAGCTTTTTTATATAATAATGCAGGATAAGGCCATGTATGATAAGTAGTAGATTAGACCACAAAAGATCCTTCTGGAAGTATACTTTTTTAAGTTTGATACCATTTTTTAAATGAATCAACACTTTTTCTTTACATTTAACTATTTTTAAAAATTTAAATTAACACATTATATATATATTTTTTTTAATAAAAAATACCTAATTGTTCCATCTTTCTTTAAATTTTCTCCAAAAATTTAGGATAAGGCGATAGGTAATTTAAATTATCTAGGAATAGGTCCAGAGACAATCATAGAAATTTCCCTTTAATCTTCTTCTCCAATAGATCCCCAAACTTCTGACATTATTAAAAAATTTGGATATCTAGACCAAAGATTTCTACATAATTTCATAATAAATGGATTAGGAAGTGTATCTCTACAATTGCTTCCCCAAAATCCCGACTCTTCATTCTACTCAACAATAATTCCTTCGAATATTTCCTTATCAGTATAAGCAGAATGTCCATCAGTTTCTTTCCTGAACATTTCTTCTGTGTCTAAACTCAAAACTTAAGGCCAAGCTTATCCATTATCTAGATGAATACCATTAATATTATATTCTTCAGTAAAATTAACTAACTCCTGGAGTAAAAGATCCCATACTTTCTTTTTACGGTAATTTAGTAAACATGTGTCTTCAAAAAATATAGCTCTTCCATCAGATCCGAAAACTGTTGTTTTTTTACCTTAAGAATCTAATTAATAAATCATTAACTCTTTGTATTTTTTATGACATCTCGAAGAATTTACTCTTGTAAGGCAATCCACTAAAATTTTTAATCCTAATTAATTTGCTTTATTAGTTAATTCTTTAAATCCAGTTTTTCCTCCAAGCATTGTATTTGGACTGTTTTTTTTTTTTTTTTAATTTTTTTTTTTTTTACGTAGAACGGCAAGTTATTGATAAAGCTGATACTTCAGGTCTTTTTACAGTAAATTATTTAGAATATTCATCAAATATGATTCCATTATCACGTTCGAATACACCCATTAAATAGAGAGTATTTATTCCAGCATTTTTATATTATTAAAGTTTATCTTTTACTTTTTTAAAGTTACCTCTTTTTATCATTTTTCCTTTCTCGTCAGGAACTCCGTCTTGAAAATCAACAAAAACTTCGTGCATTTGTAAATCTTTTGTATCTTCAGGATGGACAATAAACCTTCCTTATACAGGTCTTGTTGTGAATTATTTATTATGACTATCAGATTCGTTTTTAGGATTTAAATCAATAAGCTTTTATTTTAATTTTGTTATTTTTTTTATTTTTATTTACTTTGTAAATAGATTTTATTTCTCCTGTTTCCAATAATCTAACTAATTTCCAATCATAAAAACCACATCTTGTAAATCTTCCTAAATCCAAAGAAACACTAATAAATTTTCTAACGCCTACAGTCTATATATATATTAATATTTTAAAATTTAAATATTATTATTTTATTATTTTTGATTACTTTGACTTCCTTAATTTTAGGTTTGAAAACATGAGTAATATTTTACCTTGTTTCAGGTAAGAAAATATAAGATTTTACCAAAAAAACAATATTTTAATCATTAGAATCTGATTCAATTAGATAATCAATTTAAAATTTTTATTTAACTTTTTTAATTTTGGTTGAAAAAGGAGCTCTTTTTGACCAATCTACACCGTCGTATAGTACATTTAAAAAAAGTACAGCATGATCTCTTAATTAAGGTATAGGATGTCCTAACATACCTATATTTTTTTAAAGAATTTTTTTAAAGAATTTTTTTAAAGAATTTTTATTTTTTTACCAATAAGAAATTTTTCGAAATAATAATTAATTTTAGGATCTCTAGAAATAATTAAATCAGATAAAGTTCTTTCTAATTCAGATAAAGTTCTGCTAATATTTTTTAAAGTTTATTCAGAATTAGTTTAATTAGAATAATTTTTTCCGTATTCAACAACTTTTTATCTATATTAATGATATATGTTTTTATCAAACTTTAAATTTTCGACACCTTTGATTATATTCTTGAGCATTTTGCTATAATTCTCAGAATAAACTAAGCATTTGTTCTATTTTATTGCAAAAGCGAAATGACCATGAAATAATTCTAAAGAAAACGCTTAATTTAGTTTATTAGCTATATAAGAGGTTAGATATATATCTAACTTTCCTTTAGATTATATTCCTGTTTTTAACTTTTTTTTTTATTTAAAAAAAAATAAAAATATAAAATTATACTATTTTTATTTTTTACATAATTATAAGGAATATACAAAGTATTTGTATCTTAATCATAATCTTTGTCTTCATTAATAATTTTTATTTAAAAAGTTTCAATAAGCTTGGGTTTTACTGAATCCTATTTTATTTATTTTTTATAAATATATTTAATAATATTTTTTTTTTTTTGTAAAAAATACCTTAATTTTATTCATAATTTCGTGATTTAGTGTATTCTTTAAATCATTTATAGCATGTACATTTAATATGTTAGTCTTGTTTACATTTGATTTTTAGATATCGGCTACTTCAGGGCATTAAGGGTCTAGTTTTGTCAAAAAGGCTTTCAGGTTAGCAATAGAACCGAAAATAAAATGCAAATAAAGAACTACTTGCTTAAGAGAAAGACCTCCATTTTATTAAGTGAATTCATCAAAAACTTCTGCAGTCATATAACCTTGGTAATAATAGAGGGAAGTATAAATAGATTCAATAAAACCATATTCGAATCTGTGTTCACCGTTTAACATTTTGAAAGACCGCAAAGTATTGACTAGCTGAAGGTCAAGCTATAATTGAAAATACTCTTTTTACATTTTTTTAATATATTTATACGTATATATAGATAGTTATTTATTTATTTTTATATTTTTTTATTTTATGTAAAAAAAATAATGTCTTTAAATATAAATAATGTATATAAAAATACAATTATTCATTTATTCATATTTAAATATATTTATATGATATTAAAATCATATATTATTTATTTTTTATACTAGGATTTATTTTTGATATGTCATATTTATTAAACAATATATTTATTATAAAAAAATTTATAGGTTTATAATTTATCAAATTAAAACATATATATTAAAAATTTTTATCTTAAAATATATATTTTTTTTTTTTTTGATATTTTTATTATTTTATCCTTTAATAAAATATATTGCTCATATGTAATCCATCTTATAAAATATTTTTTTAAGTTTTTTTATTTATGTAAATTAAATATAAATTAAATCCTATAAATTCAATACCAAACCGAATCTATTTTCTATTTTTTTAACATATTTTACTAAAAATAGTTAATCACAATAATTAATTAATTATTTTAAAGTGAAAAATATAATATAAAAAAAGTGTAAAAATTAATTAGATAATATTTATTATATAAAATTATAATTAATTTAAATATATTATTAATTTATTATATAAATTATTAAAAAAAAAAATTATTATCCTTAATTTGAAATCTTTTTAATTTTTTTTATTTTTATTTAATATAACAATAATTATTAATAATTTATTTTTATTATAATGATCAAAAAGCAAATTTTTATTATATTTTTTTTTACATTAATAAGATTTTCTTAATCTATTTAAATTCATCTATCTGTCTAATATCCATAATAATTAAAGGATTAATTTTTGCACGTATAAAATCAAATACCCAATCAATTATATAAATATGGAATAATTCCATGGACAAAAAACATAAATGGAAAGCTTGAACTTTCAAATCCAAAAGATGCTTGCTAACCAATTGTATATGATGAATAAAATTATGTTTAAAAATCCTTTCTACTAATCCATTCTGGAAATTGTAATATTTTTACCAAAATATTACATGCATAAATGCATGGAGCTTAATTAGTGATATTAATAATTTAAGAAGGAGAAAAACTATATGAAATTATTAATGAAGTTAATAACAAAGGATTTGAGCTTGATATTTCTACACTTATAATTTCATCTTAGGATGGTTAAATTTTAGAAGAATCGTTATTAAATGTTGAATCTCATAAAAGACCTGTTTTATTAGCTAGCTTCCCTGAAAACACTAACGATTAAAATATTATTGAATATATATTAGAAGTTGATAATATATAATCTATGGAATTATTAAAGAATTTATATGAAAACACTGAACATATACAAAAAAATTGTAATTTATTTATTTAAAAAATATTTATTTATTTATTTTTTAAAAAAAATCACAAAAGATTCTGAATATTTTTATTTTAAAATAAAAGATTAAATATTGGATGAAAATAATAATAAAGAACTATTAAAAACCCATTGCTTAGTAAATGGAAGATATTGCGATTTTGATAATCCGACAGCTTTAAAAGAAATAGTTCGTTAAATATGTATAATTTAAAATGATCATAATTTTTTCTTTAAATATATTTCAAAAATGACTGATTAATATAATTAATATTTACAAGATTTTAGTAATTCTTAATAAAATAAGTAAGAGTATAAATATTTTGATTTTGATTATTTTTCCTAACATGCTATGCTGTAAGCAAAATTACCTTTTAATGACATTGATGATTGTTTTTAAAATTCTTTTTCTTAAATTAATGAGAAAAATGATTTGTATTTATAAAATAATATTTGTTTGGAAATGAATGAAAAATCGTATCAAAAATTTGATGATTCCATTAAAATATTTCCTACTGTATTTATTAATAAAAACTAAGTCAAAATAAATATTAATACTAGCGAATATTATAAGTAAATTATTAAATCTTTATGCATTTTATAAAAAGATTAAGATAAACCTTAGTGTATAAATTATTTTGTTAAAAAATAAAATTAAGTATAATCTTCTAGTAAGCATTTTAGCTTTATATCTATTATGTGCATTATTGGAGGAGTCTTTACTTTTATTGCTTGTATTTTAAGTATTTATTTATATAATAGAAATGAAAGTAGAAATTATAATTAAGATTTATAAAGAATCGATGAGATTGTTTAATCTTATGTCCAATTAAATGATTAGAAACAATATTAATAATGATAATATATATACATATATATATATACATAATAACAAAAATAATATAAAATATTTATTTGGTAATATTAAAATTTTAAATTAAAGAATTATTTTAAAAGCATAAAAGAAACATATTTTATTATAATTTTATTTTTCATTTTTTCTTAAAAATCTACGAAATAAACAAATGAAGTTATTACGTTTTACTCATAAAAATAGATCATATAGTTCTTTCATTATATTTAACTGAATTTTTTAATTATTTTATAGAATTAAAATTGGTATTTTAATTTTTTGTATCAACTAAGCTAAAAAATAATTTTTATCTAATTGTTTATTAATCAACTTCTTCTAGTTTCATATTAAAAATATTTTATAAATTTTTTAATAATCTCTTTAAATAAGTCACATCAACATCTTTTAATTCATCCATTACTTTTTGAATTACCTTTAATTTTATTAAAATCAAAAATATTGATTTCTATTTTTAATTACTTCTTGTATTTAATCAACTGAATTTTCTATATATACCCATTCTTTTAGTTTTTTTACAATTAATTCTCTGTAATGTGATCTATCTTTTTTCCTTTAAAGATATTAAAACAACTATACTATTCCCTAATCATAATTTAATTTTAGATTTCCTTTAATAGGACAATTAGTAAGATCTAAAACATATATTTTCTTTAAGTCTGCAAGCTCTCTAGGAAGATATTTTATATATGTATTTGAAAAATTTAAAACTTGCAAACTTTTACAATTTCTTAATTCTATTGGTATATATTATAAAGGATTATTATTCAAATGGAATTATTCTAAGTTTTTAAATTGGCATATTTATAAAGGTATTTCTTCTATATTGTTAAACCCTAGGTCTATTATTTTTAAAAAAGTTAAATCTAAGACCTTTATTTATAACAACATATATATTTTTATTTTAAATATTATTAGTACATTTGATGGTATTTGCTTAAAATTAAAATTAGATAAATAAATTGCGTTTAATTTTTTCGAAGATGCAATTTAGCTTTATAATAGTTAATTTTAAGTTTTTTCTTTATTTTCTAGAATTTTTTATATCATTTTTTATACACTTATGTATATAATTTTAAAATTATAATATTATTTTTAATTTTTAGTAAATAAAAATGAAACTAAAAAATATATATATATTTTTTTTTATATAAATACTTTATAGGACTATATAATAAATTTTTTATTTATAAATATAATAAAAATTTTTATTTATTATTATTAATATATAATTACAAAGTTAATAAATAAATTATTTTTTTAATAAGTTAAACTTTTTAAACTATTATATTAGTTTAAAATATTTTATTTTTTGTGTAAAAAAAAAAAATATACTAGAAACAAAAAAAAAAAAAAAAGAAAAAAAAAGTAAATTAAAAAGCAAATCAAATAATGAAAAAAATCATTTTATTTTTTTTTAAAAAAAAAGAAATCATTAATTATTAACATTTGTGCAATAATCAATAATTTTTTTACTATAATTGGTTATTAAATTTTCTAGAACTTTATGCGACATAGTTAGTTTCGAATTAGTTTCATCAAAATATTCTACAAAAAGGAATTATTTATTTTTATCTAAGTTAATAGAAACACCTTTAAGGATAATATTGCCTCTTTCTTTATTTGAAGAAACAGGATAGTCTTTTAATTCAACTGATGTTTAAACACAAATGTATTAATTTTCAGATATTTTTTTAGTATATTATAAATAAACGAAATCTCTTGAATTAGTATATAATAATTTTTTATAAGAAACATAATATAAAGAATACTCATTTAATTAATCAATAAGAACAAATTTATCAATACTTGAATCTTATTTATAATAATTAATATAAAAATTAAGAAAATCATCACAATTGGTTTAATTTTTAACAAAAAACTCCATTTTAATTTTAAAATATTTAAATTATTAATCCTATACTAGTTTTAAATAAATTTTGTTTTATTCTTCTTAATTATTATAATGCAAAGTGTAACTATCATCTTTTTTTGATATTGCTTATTCGAATTTTTATAATATATTATTTCCTGTATTTATATAATCTGGTTAATATTACATAAATGTAGAGTTCTCTTCTTTTTTTAATTATTCTTCTTCTGATGAATATTTATACTTTAAATAAAGATTTTGATTTTTTGGTATATCCTGAAATATATTACTATCAGATTCTCCTCGTGGATTAGATTCATCTTCTTCTAAAATAGCTTGTAAATTACTACTGATAGATTAAATGTGATTTGAAGTATCTGATTTATGCATTTGTTTAACTTTTTATTATTAATCTTCATGGTCTTGTGTTTATTTTTGTTTTTTTTTTGTTAAAGAGGCCTTTTATTAGCTTTTGTATTTTACTAATTTACTTTTTAATGTTAAATAATATTCATTGTTGCTTTCTTCTTCTAATTTATTTTATTCATTTCCACATAGTTTTTAAAAGCATCCGCCCATATTTTTTTGTTTATTTTGGAATAGTTATCTATATTATGTTTTTTTATTTAATTTGATATTTTATTATTATTTAATAATTTATTGGTTTAGTTAGTTAATTTTTTTATTATTATTAATATTTTTCTATTATTTTATTGAATTATTTAATTTTATATATATATTTAAGGTTTGCTTATTTTACTATATGTGTATATTTTATTGATTTTAATATAAAAAAATTTTAAAGATAAATATATATTAAAAACTAATTTAAATATGAATTTTTAAATATTTATTGAATTAAATTTATTTCAAAAAAGTAAAATATTTATAATAATAATTAACCACTTAAAAAAATCAAAATAAACAACAACAAAAA